ATCCAAGAGAATCTTGTGGGAGAGATTCAGTTCCAAGAGAGTTTTGCAAGTGTAAAGACATTCGGGCAATCTTATAGGATATGCGGACCAGAGAAGCTTGAATGTTAGCTCAATAACTTGACGATCAACAGCTTTTATAATCCACTTTCCCACATCAACATCAGTAGGACATCGTGAACCAAGTTTCATACACAAGGTGTCTATTACATGAGCATTGTGATGTTGCAATGACTTGTCAAGAAACCACCAAACGCTCTTTTTGCTTTCTTCCTCGTCCTCCTTGTCTATGTACGTAAGTATAGGTACCATCGTCCAAATAGAGAACCACCGTTTCGACAAAAACATGGTGGCCACTGCGTCTTTTGTCGGGACTAGACACAATATACTTACCAGCATATCTTCTGGTAATTCACTAATCCTGTCTTCCCCTTGATCAATTTCGGCTTCTGCCATCTTCACGGCGCAAAAACCTAAAGAGAAGGATTAGCGTTCTAAATTAGGGTTTAATAAAAGGAAATAATATGACTTACTTACTTGTTAAATAGTTCTAGCTTTTTAGTAAATGAAAACAAGATTGAATTTATAATCTTAGACGAAAAAATTAAGAAACCGTAAAAATATATATAACTCTTTTTCTTGCTACATAGATAGAAGCAACGTCCAAAAAAAAAACCATAGATAGAAGCATAAACTGTTTTCTTCAGGCCCAAATAAACAACTTTCCTCTGTTTCTTTAAACACTTTTGTTTCTTCTTTCACAAGTTTAGTAGAGAGGAAACTTGTGAAAGCTTATTAGTTGAGTGGAAGTGGAGGAGGCCAGTAAGGGAATCCCAAACTCCTTAAAGGAACTATAGCACTATCTTTTTCATAACCTTCTTTTGTGAGGAAGGTAGTGCAAGTTTTTGTGGTGAGATCATAAACACCGAAGCTATAGCCCACGAAATAGATGCAGTTCGGTTTGAGTCCAGGTGACGACCTTGCCGGGACGCAATAAGCCTGACTATATCCAAGAAAAAATGCAATAATCTCCAATGTCTTCTGTGTAAATCATTGTTTTATCATCTTTAGCCCAAACATACCCTATTTCTTTCTCTCTAAACACCATGAAATTTTTGGTTTTGTGCATCAGTGATCTCATCACCTCGTTGTAGTTTTCTTCTAACTCCAAGTCCTTACCCTCGTAGTCCTCTCCGTACCTGTAACAAAAACACGATAAAGCCAATGCAATACTCAATAAAAAGATCGGAGTGGATTATGGGCCAAAGGTCTAGAACTTTCACGGTTTATCAAAAAAAGAAAACAGAGAAACTAGTTGTATAAGATACTAATCATACATACGACTTGACGAGAAAAGTTCGCCGGTTGGTGATTCAACAAGGTGGTTTGTCATGGTATAACACTCAACTTGTCTTTACAATACGATAAAGAAGAGTTTATATAGAAGTTATCTAAACCAAGCTAAACCAGAATGTAAACCAAGAGTATAACAACTATCCATACTCTATATACTCCCCTCTCAAGATGGAAATGGACAATAAGAACTCCATTCCTTGTGAACGGCTCTGTTGTTGTAGAGAGATTTTGTAACCAACATAAAACGCAGACCATTGTGTAACAAAATCTCCATCTCCATTGCTTTAAGCCTCACTGTAATTAAGAGGAATCCGTGAAGGCTCCATGTGCTTGGAATTGAAAACAGCTTCTTGTGACTGAACTTGTTGCACCAAAGCAAACCAGGGAAGTATAAACTGCAGTGCTCTATATCCACAAGGAAAACAAAACTCCCCCATGCTTAGAACATCTCTTGAGGAATAAAAGCTTGATTGCATAGTCGAAGATAACAGAAATGGCAATGACATTGCCTCAAACTGCAGCATGTTCTCAAGGAATCGTAGGCAACAAAGGAAGAGTAAGGACTGCTGAAATGCAGGGCCAGCAAAAACCAGAGGACGAACTAGAACTTGGCCCCCAACAGCAACATCAATAAGGGAGGATACAGCTGGATTTTGCTTGCCTAAAGAACTGATAATGACTAAAGAAATATCGTCCAACAAGAAGCAGCAACTATGAAATGACATTCCCATTAAGCTATGAAGCTCCTTAAAGCCATGTCTGATGCGCTTCGAAAGCAGAAGGATGAACAAGCGTTCTCTAAGATTGTGTGAACCATCCAACACAATCAATCTCTTAGCAACAGAGACCAACAACTCTTCAGAACTACCAAGTGAAGTCTTCACAAACATAATTAAACTTGTGAACTTGCAAGGCTGATAATTCACATGCAAACTATCCTCATTGCACTCTCTGGAGAACAACTTCAATTCATGTGTTCTGAACCAGAAAACAGGAAGATCTAGCAATTCTACTAACCATCCGTTATTAATGATATACTCTGGGATCTACGTTCCGAATACCATAACGCAACAACATCACCATCTAATATCATTGTATATTTGATTCACATCAATATCAATCAAGCTCCACTTTACTCTTCTTTTCTGGTTGGGTTTCTAGATATTTTTTAAGACCAAAATTTTTTTTCCAAATTCACATAAAATTTCTTAGTGCAGAATTCAGCTTCCACGGTAGTTAACATTGAAATCCATGCGGAAAATAAATTGAGTTTTTTTAATGTTACCTACAAAAACAACATTACAAAGAGAGCAACACCAACCTACTAAATTCCACTGGAGAAATTATATTGGCCTCGTTTAATCATTACTGGGCTAATATTGTTTAAGCCCTTTTTAGAAATCGTTTATCAAAACAAAACATTCCCTCTTCTTCTTCGCTTGATGACGTCGCACCACATCATTCATACGAGCAATTGCATTTACAAGCG